GATTGAATACCCCTAAATGAGATGCTGGCATGAGACAATGAAATATACAAGTTGATGCGTGCAGACAAAGTCGCCAAAGCAAGACATCTTGCTTTACGAAAGTTTGTAGTTGCTCTGGGCGTTTATTTCCAGTGGAATGGCCCGTGGGGCAGAGAAAACACTGCACGCAGGTACAGCACCCGACAGAGCTCAAGGTCAAGAAGCATGCAACCAGACAAGCTCATAAGGTCCCCCAGCCCCCCAAGATACACCTGATCAGGTAATGACCGGTCATGCATCAGGCTCACTACACTGCCGGTTTCTTTGGCACCGGCCTACAAACCCCAGGTGGCAGGTTTTAATCCCGGCCCAGGGGCCCGTAATTTTACAAAGGCTTATTGCGGAGAAGGTCTTGTAATCAAGCTTTCTGTTGCACGTCTGATCCCCAGGTGGTCCAAATTAATCCTCAGTCGTATGCTGAGGTGTTCCAAATGCTTCTCGTCGGTTTGGCTAGTAAAACACCCAGATTTGATTTTGCATAGCTGGTTCTTCGCGCTTTCCTTCTTAGAAAGGTAAGAAAACAAGCGGATACATTAGTTGCTTTAATATGCAAGCGGATGCTGACGATAATGGATCAAGTGCCGATCCAGTGTTGCCTCTCACAAGTCGGTGTCACTTTCAGTGCGCGCCTTTCCCCAACCAGCCACTAACACGAGGAGATTGGGCAATTTGCATTCGAAAACAGCCAGGGTTATGAACAATGCCCCAGAAAAGTGCCTTTGTTGGATTTTCAACCTGCAGCCAAGAAACCTGCAGGTTAGTCTGGGGCAACCTACACAGTTTTACACGGTAGAGGCTCTGTGCGAAAGCAGGAGAAAAAACTTTCAGGTACGACGCCGGCCGCCACCCCAATGCGAGTCGTTGCTGGCACCACATCTTTGTGTTAATAATATTTAGGACCTTATACGATTTGGGTAAAGTTTCTTCACACTTCGTCAAACTTCTGTATGTTTCACATACCCAATTTTTCCCCTTCAACTGGAAACCTCAAAGATTATTTTTCGGTTTCCAGTTCAAGTTTTTTCCAGAATAAAAAAATTATAATGTTTCGGTTTGACTCCGGTTTGTACACAAATTGGAGTTTTTTCTTATGTTTGGTTTTCTTTTCAGTTAGATGCCCTGGAGGATTAATGAAATCCACTGTCTACGATACAGATGACCTCTTTCGTCTTTATACCTTGAAAAATGTACAGACCGCCAACGCAGCATCAGTTTGTACCGTTGACTCTGTCACTTAATCGTCACTTCAGTGTCATGTCGTGCAAGCAACCGAAAAAGGGGTCGGCTTTCAAGGCACAGTGTTATGTAAGGAAAGTAATGGTGACCAGTTCCAGTCCCGACCCAACTATCCACCTCGTGCAGAGCTTGTGAGCTCCGGTTGGAATGGCCGGGGGGGGCCATTACAAACAGCTGATTTCACTCTCCTTGAGCACATAAGTTATTCAAGGTTATTGCGTTCCGTAACTTCATTGTACTGTATGCGTTGCGAGCGCATAAGGCACCGCCATAACCGGGGCCATGTAAGCAAACTTGGACGGGTGAAATCCGGGCGGTCTTGATATCACGAAAGCTCGCCTGCACCGTCAAAAAGTAAGGAACAATATGTTAGAAACAATCTTTCTCTGAATTCAGCACATCTACGAACCTCCAACGAAGTTGGCCCTGCGAACAGGAGAGTTCACGATTGGTTTTCAAGGCATTCCGTTACGGGGTTCTGTCAGTAACTGATATTTTCTGTTTTCTTTTTTTTTTCATAGTAGTTTTAAAGTGGCAAGATGTGAATGAGTATAGCGCACACCTTAAGAACGAAAAGCTTAATCCGTCATTCTTTACTTAAGTACCGGGTATAGCTTGATTACGTTGAGCTGGGGTCATACTGATTATACATCATACAAAAGACAGTCTGCATACAGATTTGAGGGCAAGTCACCGTGAGATCCATGCTTCGAATGCAGCCTGGCAATGGGTTCAAGGAGAAACTTAGCATGCAACATTCGAACCACACATATTGCGGTGACTTGCATGTGCAGACTGTCTTTTGTATGATGTATGAGCAGTGTGACCCCGGCCAGCTGTCTTCTGGGTAAAAGCAGAATGTCCCGCTATCACATTGAGGACCCGGCCAGCTGACACGGGGGATTCGCGTCATAGGCTTCTGAAACACGAGCTCTTGAAAGCAGGGCAAAAGGGGCAGGGTGCTTCACATTGGGTGCTTTCGTGCACCACCCGCAAAAGGCTACTGAAACCTTATAAAAATTTTCATTTGAACCATTTTTGCTGCTATTTGCACAACCTACAGCTGCACAGTGATGAGGCATAACAATTATGAAGCCAAGCCATGAGAATAACGGAGGTAGTCAAGCCAAACCAATCCTGTCTGAGGGACTGAGTGGACGAGAGAGCCCCCAAAAATGGTGCCTTTCCCTTTCCTCCTCTCTCTGAGTTCACACATGCGCCCAGGTATACATGGCTTGCATTGACCTCACATCAGCTGCCATTGCTCCATACCATGCGCCTGTTTCTGTACCTTCTGCAGCATACATTTGACACCATCAAATTTGTCTTCTGGGCAAGGCTTGCCGAAAGAAACAAATTGAATGGTGCGAAATCTATGCTGCACAAGGTACGGTGCAGCAATGGCAGCTGGTATGGTGCCATATGACGCCCCGTGCAAGGCATGGTTCCCGGACATTTCATCAAACACTGTTTCATCGAACGCCGTTTCGTCAAACGCTGTTTCATCGAAAAAATGGACGTTTCATTGAATCGCTGATGGGAGTTTCATTGAATGTCTTTTAAATAAAAAGTGTGAAAGATGTTCTTTTATGCACGGATCGAGTGCATTTTCGTCTCATTCACCCATTTCATCGTCAGGGTTTTTAATGTCCAAACTTGTAGCTGTTACAATTTATTTTATGGCAAGTAACCCATGAGGATATTTGTACCGATCTTTATGTTTGTTTTGAAGATTGTGCTTATCTGTTCACCCTTTCTGTATTACCCGATGGCCCTTGAGGGTATTGTAACAAATAAATAAAAAGTCGCACTCCCGGTAAGAGCGCACTCCAACTCATGGAGGCCAGAAGGCGACTTAGGTTTTCCAGAGGCGCAACAACTTTAGCCATGTAAGCCTCCTAGCCTCTCATGTCTTTGTATTGATGCTTTTTTACTGCCCGAAGCTTGCAGTTGCTAAAGCTGAGGTGCTATATTTATGAAACTACAATGAAACATTGTTTTCTTTTTTTAGTTTTAAGACTCAGTCGAGTCAAAAGTAAGTATGTCACATCAAATTTTATTTGAAAACTTTCGGGGGTTCATGTGTTCGTGCGACAGCCATTCACCGTTTCAAATGATGAGCGATTGCTCTCTAAAAGTTCCCCACAGCCATGGTCCGTCAGTTCTCATAAAAAAGGCGGACCTTCTCATCCCTTGCCGCTATGGCCATCTTCTGGCGAGGAGGCTTTTGGGAACTCAGCATCGCCTCCAGCTTGTCTACCGTCAGTTGATGTTCTGTGGCGATGCAAGTCAACAACTTCCAGAACCTGAAATGGGCACCTCCGACCAGCTTCAGGAAGCGAGACCGCCACCATGGCGTTGGATAAGACGGCGTTCGATAAAACGGCGGTCGATGAAACGGCTTCGATGAAACGCCGTTCAATGAAACGGCTTCGATGAAACGGCGTTCGACAAAACGGAGTTCAATGAAATGTCCAGTCCCAGCAAGGCATGTATACAAAGTCTGCAGACACAGATACGAGACCTGCAAACGTGGGTTAGGCACTGATAACAAAACTGACACCTGGATAAGCATGTTTTCAAGTAATTTGGTCTGAGATACTAGTGTCATCGTACATGCCACCTGATTAATTATGTGTATTCTTCTATCCTGGAAAATTTAATATGATCCATGTACTGGCTCGAGCGTACACGGTGGCCGGCTAGCAGTCACACATGCGTAAGGGTTGCAACCTTTCTGCCTAGCCTTGCGCGTTGTCGTGTACGCACCAATCTCTTGTGCAAAGAAATTAGAATTAAAATGTGTCACTGCCTCGAAATCTGCCTTCAGCAACATGAAATCAAACGGGGCTATACCGATCTCTTTCTGCCCGTTAGAAACTCCGCAACAAATTCTGAAGTTTAATCATATTAAGGCTGGCAGCCTGCTATTTGGGTATTTGTTTTTGATCGGCATGCGAAATGCACACCACGATTGTTTCTGTACTCATTATATGGCTAAAATCAGACTTGATGCTCGGGTGTTGATGTCGCTGGCTGTAATAAGGCGGAGCCTCCTGAGGGGGCGGTTCACCGAATGATACTTTAGCGAATAGTTGGGCGCCGCGAAGCGGCGTTCACGTGTGGGCCAATACACATACACATGTGGGTTCATATTTTTTGTAATGAGCCGCCTCAGACTGTCGCCGCGAAGCGGCGTAAAGCGCAGCGCGGCGGGTGGGTTAACGCGCGCCCCCGTTATTGCCCCGGAGGCTCCGCCTTATTACAGGCCAGCGACATCAATACGGTAATACCTATGCTCGTACCCAAAGGTTACATAAAAATGTTTCACATATATCGGAGCATAGCGTCACTTAATAAGCAATAGGAGCAGACTTGCCAAGGGACGCAGTCCGCAGGCGACGTAGGTTCACGTAGCCCTCCTTGGTGTAGCCCACGGTGGAAGAAACGAAATGCTTCTTCCGTCGTGGTGTAGCCAGACAGACGATGGGCGCAGCCATGACAGTTATTCTATTGTTTGAATTTTATGATGCAGAAAGTTTCGCACATCAACTTTGGTTGTTTATTATGTTCGTTATAAGTAAACCAAAACAAAACATTTAACTAAAATTGTTATTTATCATTTATCGTAATATATTTAATGCTTTAATACGTTAACGTAATGTTAACGAACCTAACGACTACGAACGAACAGAAACGAAATCGACAACAAGCAAAATGGCTGCGACCAGTTGAGGCTGCTGAAGCTGCAGTGGTCAAGTTAACGGCATTCTACGTTACTGTATTTAGTTGTAAGCTCGTACACCACTATAATTCGACACGAGATTTCTGAAAAGTCGACATGCTATAAATAAAACTGTAGCGTGCCCTTCTATTTAATTAGAGCTGAAAATACATTTGGGAGTGAAGTGATTTGAATCTGAGCAGTCGCCCGCTGCAACACAACGGTATGTATTCACGATTCATGAAGATTTCTTGTGCATGTATCAGAAGATATTCCTTAAAGCATGGATCACAGGGCGTTTTCATCATCTTAAGCGGCCTTAAAAAAAGGAAATAATGGAAGCTACACAGGGGAATGAAACGTTCGGATCGAATAGAATTGTTCGACGGTGCCGAAAGACAAAATTGAACGAGTTGTAATATGCGGAGTGTAGAAGCTTAGCACACGAACGACGTTGTATTTATCAACTCTACTAAAGACTTGTGTTGGTATGGAGACCTTTTGCGCGATGTAACGTTGCAAGCACGGTTGTGCTTCTTATTTTCTTACATTTGGCACCTAATTCCCTGAAATTAGTACACCTGACGGGCCAGTGACAAAGAGTTTATATTCTACAATTCAAAAGACGATAACATTGAAGATGACATAAATATTGTTTCTTTTAAGCCATTGATTATGTTATCGTATTTCGAATCGTAAAGCACCAGGGTGTTTACGTTTTTCCGGAGTTCACAGAAACACTACAAAGAAGGTCCCAACATTAAAAAGAATATTTGTGACTCGTAATCTCGAGACTGTCGCTCAGGGCTTCCCTCACTCTGTTTTCTGCAGTCACATGGAATGATAACACAACTCTTCATAAAGGAAAAAAAAAGGGGGGGATTAAGGTTTTGAGGAGTAATGAGCTGTTGGGCACCAGGGCATTGAATGGAAAAGAAAACCAAACATCAGAAAAAAACTTACTCGTGTGCAAACCGGAATCACACCGAAACATGATAATTTTCTTCATATTGGAATGAAACCGAAAAATAATCTTTGAGGTTTCCACTTCAAGGGGAAAAATTGTTCAAAGTGAAACATACAGAATTTTGACGAATTTCGAACTTTTGAACAGAAATTTGACAAAGTGTGAAGAAAGTTTAATCGTATAAGGTCTTAAATATTATTAATACAAAGATGTGGTGGTGCTACCAACGACTCGCTTGTAGTGGCGGCTGGTCTCGTACCTGAAAGTCGTACCGTGTAAAACTGCGTAGGTTGCCCCAAAGTAAACTTTAGGTCCCTTGTCTGCAGGTTTGAAATCCGATGAAGGCACATTACTGGTGCGTTGTTCATAAGCTTGCTTAGGAGAAGAGCGTGTTGGTTCATGTCATGGATGAAGAACAAATAAAACAATTAAAACAGGGACAACACAACCACATCTTTCAACAAGCAACAGACGAGTAAACTTTCCACAGCGAGCAGCCGACTATACCCAGGAGGGGAAGTGGGGAGAAGGGGAGATAAAAAACGCAAAGTGAAAATCAGAGAGGTGGGTTTATCTCGGATTTTAGAAATTCAACCTCAGTTTTTGTCGGCAGGAGGGAAGGGTTTGACACATTGTTTTTTGCTGTGTTCATGGCGAATGACTCTATGATCTCCCTGCTGCTGTAAAAACGTGTCAAACCCTTCCTTCCTGCTGATGAAAACTGAGGTTGAATTTCTAAAATTCGAGATAAACCCACCTCTCTGATTTGCACTTTGCGTTTTTTATCTCCCCTTCTCCCCCCTTTCCCTCCTGGGTATAGTTGGCTGCTCGCTGTGGAGAGTTTACTCGTCTGTTGCTAGTTGAAAGATGTGGCTGTGTTGTCCCTGTTTTAATTGTTTTATTCTTTCTTCATTCATGGTTGTTCATAACCCTGGCTGTGTTTGAATGCAAGTTGCCCAATCTCCTCGTGTTGTGGCTGGTTGGGGAAAGGCGTGCACTGAAAGTGACACCGATTCGTGAGAGGCAACACTGGATAGGCACTTGATCCATTATCGTCATTATCCAGTTGTATTTTAAAAGCGACTAATATCTCCACTTGTTTTCTTATTTTTCTAAGAAGGAAAGCACGAAGAACCAGCTATGCAAAATCAAATCTGAGGGTTTTACAAGCCAAGCAGACGACGGGCATTCAGAACACCTCAGCATACGACTGAGGATTAATTTGGAACACCTGGGGATCATTTGACGTGCAACAGAAAGCTTGATTGCATGACCTTCTCGGCAATAAGCCTTTGTCAAATTGCGGGCACCTGGGCCGGGATTAAAACCTGCCACCTGGGGTTTGTAGGCCGGTGCCTTGCCTTGGAGCCACTGAAATGCCAAAGAAACCGGTAGTGTAGTGAGCCTGATGCATGACCGGTCATTACCTGATCAGGTGTATCTTGGGGGGCCGGGGGACCTATGAGCTTGTCTGGTTGCATGCTTCTTGACCTTGAGCTCTGTCGGGTGCTGTACCTGCGTGCAGTGTTTTCTCTGCCCCACGGGCCATTCCACTGGAAATAAACGCCCAGAGCAACTACAAACTTTCGTAAAGCAAGATGTCTTGCCTTGGCGACTTTGTCTGCACGCATCAACTTGTATATTTCATTGTCTCATGCCAGCATCTCATTTAGGGGTATTCAATCGCATTGCTTCCAGTTTGCAAAGAGGTAGCCATTCCTGATGCATACCAGACCGCCTCAAGTCTTGTCGCTGAACCGTCCAACCAACTCAAGGCTTGTTTCATTAATCATAGTAAATAACGAGAAGTATCCTAAGAACCCGGTACCGAGAAGAAAGTAGTGTTTATGGCACAAAATAAAATGTGCAGCGTTTTTAGTCAACTTTGTAGCACTTTCAAGTTTTTTCTAGATGAGCCCTTAAAAACTTTATTTTAAATTGTGGTATTTGATCTTGTACCTTGAGATTCAAAAACCTAAATTTGAATTCTTCAAACATGTATAGCGAAGAAATTCGAAATTTTCAAACTTTTCATATTCAATCTGTAAAGAGAGTTGAAATCTTCAAACTTGAACTTTCAGAAACTTTACATTATCAAACTTTTCAAATTCGAAACACAGCAGGGTTTGAAATTCGCAACCTTTTCAAATTCAATCCTTAACTCCTGCAATCTCGGCAGGTTTGCGACATCCCTAGTTATGATTTTATCTAGTCAGGTAGTTGGGCTAAATGGATGTAGAAGTTGCGACAGTAGTTTTTCCGTCTGCTGCTAAGTATCCAACGTCTGAAAATAGCTAATGACACAGCACCGTCTGAAACCACCACGCTGCAGTGACGTTATTGAGTAGCAATCGTCGCTCAGAATAAAGCAGTGGGGAACACGTTTGCCTGGACAGCAAATTCGCATGTCTAGACATTGTACAGTCAGCACAGAATGAAACCATCGTCACAGGCTGCTCCACTGGAGGGCCCCTGAGAACTAATGAAAATGTGCTTTGGAGCGAAAGTGCAGGTCCTACTAAGGTGTGCTCGACTCTCGCGCGACATATCTGGGACTTCCGCGTTTCGCCGGTGGTCGAGGGTCGAGCACAGCTTAGTAGGACACGCACCCTGGCACCCCGGTGCATTTTCATTAGTTCTCAGGAGCCCTCCAGGTGGAGCAGCCTGTGACGATGGCCACGCGCTGCGGCGTTCGGGTTTCATTCCGTGCTGACTGTACATACGCTCAATGGCGCCATAAATTATACATCTGTCGTATTACCTACATCCGGCCCGCGCTCATTGTTATACATTTCTAAATAGTGTTTTTCGTGCACATTCACCCCTGCGAGAGGTTCATTCTCCGGTCTTAGACAACTGAAGGAAGTTCTGTCCCTTACTTGCTTTGTGCTGCTGGGTAGCCTCTGAAAAAGAAATGCTCTAGCACAGCTAGGTGTATAGTGCTTTATTATAGATATTCAGGAGAGCAACCAGAATTTAAGTCACCTCACTTAGACATGGTACAGGCTGTAACGTGGGTTTGCTTTACAGAATTGTTATTTTCTAAAAAAAGATAAAGAAAATCAGATTATGGTTGTAATGCGTGTGTTATACCTTGTCACTGCCGACATAAAAAAACATGGTTTGCTTTTGCAATGCAAACTATAGAGATCGACGTAGGTAGATTGTCCCATTTTGTCTGAACTTGCAACTATGCACACATAACGTCTTGGTCAACGCAGGGCTAGGGAAGAGAGTTGAGATGCAAAGCCCTGTAAAGACAATGTCGCATTGCTTTCTTTTTTTTTTAGTCTCCATGTGTAGAATTGTGTGGCATGTAGACTAGCTTGTCTGACTGTTCAATTTTTCGACTAATGTATTTATACTCTTGTCAATACCAGCTGCCATGGCGATGGGCTACTCTTCGACGGGAACATGCACATCTGAAAGAGACCTGGCCCGATGAGCATCACAGCTACAACATTGCTGCCACAGTACCTCTAGATACAATAGTTATTGGCTTATTCAAGTGACCAAGTGGTGACAAGGGAATCTCGTGGCCACCTTCAGCAGGTAGGTTTGTCAACAAGGTGGCAGGTTTCACTCTTTGTTCAATTCCTATGGTGCTGTCACTGCCATTCAATGAAATGGAATGAGAAAAGAGGTACTGTAAAAGCCTTGAATCAATGTTTTTTCAGCACTCAATTTTGATGAACCTAAATACTGGGGACATGAAGCGTCACACAAAAATTCCAAACAATATTTGATTTCTACAAAACCATATTGCTAGTTGCGAATTAGTTTTCTCAATTTAATGTGCGGGTTAGTGCAGAACCGCGATGCACTTTAACAGATATTAAACACAAGCATGATGTTGTACTGTTTTGTCATTTAATGGTATCACCTATCGCCATCCCACACCTTCGTTTCGGGTGCTACGTATGTGTCGTCTTGGATAAAGGTTTTATGGCTATTTAGTTCCGTTGTTTGTAGCTCATGAGAGAATTAAATGTATCTCATTTCCTGACCTGGCCTATGTACCGTCGCACAACTGGTATACTCCGCTCACCCCTAAGCTGATGGTGCATTGGAAGCTACGTGCTTGCTGGACCAGTTGTACGCCCATCATTTGCCATCTGATCAGACATCCCCGCCTACATCCATGCGCCAGGAGCAGGGTCCGGTGACGAGAGGAAGGCGGTCGATAGGTCCAGTGAATGTGTTGCTCCCATCGCACTGTCAACTTGGTGGTGAACAGAGCATAGGAAACAGCTCATTGCATTAGCACTAAATGATACAGAGCAGGTTTATATGATATGTAGGCTCATATCTGGCCTCTTATTGAGTGCCACATTGGAGACCTGTGGCCAGAATCAAAACATTTAAGATGGAACCAGCAGTAACTAACTGGATTGATTCCCACCTAACAAATTCAAGCCAAAGTGTGGAAAGCAGCGGTAATGTTGCAAACCCTCTGCCAGCATATTCAGCTGTAGCTCACAGTTCTGCTTTAGGGTCAGTCTTGACATATATAAATGACGTACTACACAGCACGCCCCCAGAAATACAGGTCGGACTCTGGGGACGATTGTATTATTTACTCACTGATGAGCACCTTGGATAAGCAAGCATCATTAAATAAGTATGCTAACCACATAAAGGAATTGTGTGTAATATTTTCAAGGTGTCAAAGTCTATCATATAGACTAACCAGATTTTTATTTAGCAAAGTTTACTGCAAGGTAAATATCACATCAGCATTCACCAAGTTTCCTTTTCTTTCACATATATATATATTTTTCTAATTCATGCTTTGTTGTCCACCTTTCACCCTGGAATAGTGCTTTTACCCTTAAAGGGATAGTGAACAGAAATTTCGAGCTCACAAAACAAGGGTAAACGGATAGGCGGGACGCTGCAAAACCCCAAAACAACACTCATACAGCGATATCTCTAACGGATCTCTGTATTTTTGGAAAAGAAGTGTGCGAGTGAACACGGCCGACGAGACAAGTCACGTCACGATTCCCGTTCCCTCTCCTTCTCGCTACGTCCCTTCAAGCTAGTGAACTGAAGCGAGAAGGAGAGAAGCGAGGCTGCTTCCCCTCATTCTGCAATTCTGCCGGAGGACAACAACGTCAAAGACCGTCACAGATGGCCGCACTTTTTTTTCAAAAGAGCGGCCATCTGTTTGAGATACTAATGTACAAGTCATGTCTTGGAGTTCCTAGCGTTTTGTTCAACGCTCATGCATCCTTATTTTGCGTAATCCGAATTTCGGTTCGGTATCCCTTTAATGGGGCACTAAAGTGTATTTTGAAAGTCTCGTTCTATGGTCATACCTCAATCTGCGAGCACTAATCATCCTAAAAAACCAGAAATTACATTCATTTGCTGCAAATTCGTATCTTAAAAAAGTGATCGAAGTTCCAGACACTTACCATCGTCAGAGAATAACAGATGGCGCTACCGAACCTTGCTGAATATGGTCGAACGACGGACGGTGCGTGTCAGCCACTCGCGAGCGATGGGTTCCTGCGTGGACGAGCACGACTGGTCGGCAGCTTGTCCACGGTGGACTCCATCGCTCGCGAGTAGCCGACACGTGCCGTCCGTTGTTTGACCATATTCACGAAGGTTCGGTAGCGCCATCTGCCATTCTGCGCTGACGCGAAGTGTCGAGAATTTTGACTGATATTTTTAGTATGGAAATCGGCCGCAGATGAATGTAATTTTTGCTTTTTAAGGATGGTTAGTGCTCGTAGATTGAGTTATAACAATAAAACGAGGATCTCAAAAAGCACTTTAGTGCCCCTTTAAGACATGGCTGCCCTGTGGCAAAGCGACATAAGCAGAATTGCAATGCCTACTCCACGGGTGTAGCTTCTCGGCAGTGCACCAGTGTGTGGTGTGAGAAGCGCACTCAACGGAGATAATTAGACTGCCCGAACATACCACGTACAATGAGAGATATCACGAAACATCCGAGAACTGAGTCATGTTCGGTGTGTAAATCAAATCAAATCACACATTATTCTAAGCAATAACCGGAAGTTCTAAGCGATTCACACAATGTTGCAGGAACAATCTGGCAGTACTGCGACGCCTGAACTATTAGTTTCGGTAGATACAAACGAAAACTCCCCTATGGTGTAGTGTAGGCATAAATTCATTACATTTTGGTGAAATGTAGCTTTGGCGGAGCATGCACGTCAATGCTTTTCCCCTTGGAAGGCATTCTTGCACATTCCGATCCAAATTTCCCATCTTAAACTTTGTTCCTTAGGTAGCATGCAGCAGGACTTTAAGGGATAACTTGCTGGTTGGGAAGTAACTTTGTGGCTAACTTAAAAGACCCCTGAAAAGAAAAAGAAAATGTTTTTTTTAAGCAGTCTGGTTGGGACACATGTGTTAAAAAAGAAATTTTACCGAGCAATATTGATTGGGAGAGATTTAATTGAAATTGTTTGCGAAGTCCGTGACGTCACGGGTCATTCCAAGATGACCATCTCGATCGTAAAGGCGAAGGCGATCGACCTCCCCTCCACGCTCCTGAAATGCCAAGAGAGAAAACAAGAGGTAAGGACGCGACTGCCGACTAAATCGGACGTGACTGCCGACTAAATTGCGTCTCGCGCCGTCAATATTGCTCTAAAAAATATTTTTTTCACATAAATTTTTTTTTTTTGACATGTGTGTTTCAACTAGATTGTTAAACTAGATTGTCTTCTCAGGGGCCCTTTAATAAGGCGAGTGCCCCACTCCCATTCAATGGATTGATTGGGACGCTCCCAGAACAAGCATAGCAACCTACAATCTGTCGTGCATACAGCATGTTTCATATCTCCACGTTTGAATTTTTCCTTTTCTGCACACTGGTTCAAGAGTGGCTTGGATTGACTGCTTGGTCTTCCTTTACCCATCAGGCAGGCAGTCTACAGTCTACTTCAAGCATCTGCAATGCTACACAGAGGGAACGTGCCAAAGGCCTGGTTGATGGGCAGGATCGGGCTGCTCCATAGAGTTCTATGCAATCGACCTCTGGGAAGCAAGCGTCTGCATGATCAAGTGTGGCTTCTTGGCAGATGATTGCCTGCAACACTGGTGTTCATCAACATATGTGGTGACTGTCGAGAAATATTTCTCGGATGCAAGACCCCGAACTGCACCTGGAACTCTGACGTAGCTTGTGCACGCTCATTTGATTACCTTCTGAAGACTGTGCCTAAAAGAACTGCTGCAGAATGGCGATTGAGATGAAGGCGTTACAAGATGCGTCATAGGAGCCACCATGTACTTGTGCTGATTGTCTCGATCCCGGTGTGGCTCGCTCTAGAAGTTCAAGCAGAGGGGGAAAATGTTGCTTTTGTGCTAACGTCCCAACTTGGAGTTCTTTGAGTCTCCCTCGACTGACATGCTAGTGAGCCGCAGCAGAACAGGCATCTGCGGTGCCCGCGTTCCTCTGCTGTAACACTGCCAGGATTGAGGCCAGGGGTTCATCCATGATTGTCTATCTGGGAAGGTGTTGCTAATTCTGGGAAAGGCCTCGCGAGGGATGTATAGCATAGATTTGTGTACTTTGAGTAGAAAATTCTTATAGCGTTGTCCCACTAGATCGACAAACGCCGATTTTCGTCCGGCGACAGCACGAAGTTTTGTGTCGCTGATGCTGTTCCACTGCAACGACCAACATCTGCTACAAGCGCCGACAAACCATCAACGACGGACGAGTTGTTGTCTGTTGTTCAACTTGAAGCGCAGCAAGCAGTCCCACCGAGGAACATCTCTCGGAGACAAACTTAATTTTCTTACCCACTTCTGCCTTCAGTTGCTGTCTTCCCCACCCTCCCATTCCTGCCGTGACTCAGTCCTTGGCGGCCACTGATCGTTCCTGCTCCCGCAGTTTCGATTCCTGGATTGCTCGTAGTGGTCGCGGGCACGGCTTGCTTGCTAGATGTCGTGTTGCAAAAGGGAATTTGCTGTGGCTGGTTTTGCTCGCGAAAACCTGGTGCGCGAGTTGGTGCTTCAAGATGCCGAAGTCTACACCCCTGCATCAGGATGGATACACCCATGTGCGAGGACTGACCAAAGTAAGACCGCTCACCACGAAGTAGGACACGACGTTCCATCAGTTCTGCGGCAAGCCATTCCGGCAAAACGAGAGACTTGTCATCCGTTCTGTGATTGTCCCTAATAAAACTACCCCCGTATTGTCCCTCATAAAACGCCTTCCCTTGGAGGCGTTTTATGGGGGAACAATGAAATTCCCGTGAAATTCCGTGGCGCGCACCTGGAATGCTTCGAACGACCCAAAAAAAGGAACGATTCAGGAATTCTAGTTCGGAAAAAGTTGGGTGTCGATTGTCACGACTGTTTTCGGAAAGTCGCCAACGGCAAATGAAGGCAAGCGGAAGCTTTAAAGGGATACTTCAACGAAATTTGAAATATTTCCGTCGTGTTCAAAAATAGGTTGAATATGATCCACAATATCCGTAAATGACAATCACACGTTTGTATTTTGAGCCTGGTGGCTGTATTTTTCGTTATAAACGGCCCACTCTGGCAAGCGCTCGGAGAAGGCCCAGCGGAGACCATGTGACATCCAACGCAATCGTGACGTAGGTCGTCTCAAGACGAGCAAAGCTACGGCGAGGCTGCCGTCGAGATGATGGCCTAGTTGTTCCAGCTTGTTCCAGCCACCGAAGCGGCTGCTTTTGTACAAATTTTGAGTGACAGGTTAATCTTCTATAATCTTGTAGGGGGACAATAGCGACTTCTGTGACACACAAAAGGCATTCTCGGGAAGAGGGGAGTTCCCCCTGCCCCTCTTCTCGTCGTGGCCGGAGGCGAGACAACCTCCGCCACTAGCTGCCAAGGTTGCTAGACGGGCATTACAAGCGAGGCGTTAGCGACATCCACCAGGTGCTCTTTGCTAATCGTTTAATTCGTCTTAAAATTCCTTTTCATGACTTTTTTAACACGATATTGGTATGTTCGATTTGGCGGTGCTTTTTTGAACACATATAAACCAAAAAATGAGCGCCGAAATTTCGTAGTAATATCCCTTTAAACAAGGAATAAAGTCATCGTCTCCACTTTCACCGTGTTTGTCGGCGCGTTTGACGCCCAAAAAGCAAAACAAGAAAACCGCGTCGCCATACTCTGTTTGTCTATTTTGAAGTGCTGTTGACAACTCTAGTCCCACTAGGAAAGAAGTTTCCTTGTCCCCGTGTTCTGCTCCGTGTCTGCCAGGTGGGACAGAGGACTCCGACAAACAGGCTGTTTGTCAGTGTTGTATGTCGCTCATTGTCGTCTGTTGCTGTCGTTTGTCGCTCTAGTGGGACGCGGCTATTAGGGACTCGGCCTGGGGCATGTTAGGGGTGTGTGCGTATAAGTCGCTGGTCGTAAGAACCAGCAGCATTGCATTCGTTGTGCTCAGTGTCCTGGATTGTCTGGATCTGCCTGTAATTTATGGGACCTTTAGAACTTCAGCATTACACAGTGATGACATCAGCAGCTGGAAATTGATGGGACCGAAATAAAGATGACAAAACTAGATTGTAGCTGGAGTCTATCACTACCATAGAGAAGCTCTCAATAGCATGGACTTTGGATTCACACAAGAATGTCCCGTGGGTAACAGGATTTAATGCACAAGTAATTCTGAAGATGGCTTTAATGCTTCCGTTCTAATTCCCATGGACCTCCACAGGCTGAAAGGGCAGGTGACATACCTATGTATCAAGTGCAGAGGAGGGAACAGTGAACAAAAAGGCACCAGGAAAAGGCCCCCATCTATTGAAACCGAGTTCTGTATGGGTTTTTATTATCTGCTCACCTCCAGTGCTGATCAAAATAACACGACGTGAAATCATGATAGGCGTAAGAAACAAACAGCTTGAAACCAATTCGCGTCCTTTTAATTTCACGAAATTTGGTATGCGCCAAATCGCCTAAAACTGGTACAAATCAAAGCAGTCTGTGCAATAAAACGTGAAAATACGGCAGAAAAAGTAAACACTTGCGGGGCGTAAAACCGCGGAAGTAAATCCGTTCGTGGCAATCTTGTTCAGCGACAAACAAGTGTTCATTCAGCTGTGAAGCATTGAAGTGGATATAAAATCTGCATAGCGTTTCAGAGCAAGAAAAACGGCGAATTAATTGAGCAGTACGATTGGCAGCATTGCGGGCGCTACGCGGGCGCGTAGGAAGGCGACAAGGCTTACTTTGATAAGAGTCACACGGAAAACGTTGACACCAGCCACACACGCTGTGCAAGGCTATCGTTCTCGCTTCTTGAATTACGGTTGAAAAGCACTGCGCATTAGCACTGCAAGCACTCCACGTGTACACGGTTTCAATTACGGAACAGAGCAGCGAGGCCTACCTCATTCGAGCTTGGGTAGAGAATCGCCGAGGTTGGAGCAGTCGAACTGTGGACATCGGCATGCTCGAAACTTCTGCTACCGACTTTTATGCGCGTAATATGCGGAATAACTCAATGGATATGCACTGGCAGATGAAACAACGCGTCCACTAAGTCACCACGGGCCACGGCACCAAAGTATCCGCCGGAGTGTAGCAGACGCTCCTGCCGGCGACCGGCGTCGTATGTGCGTCGCCGTCAATATTTTGTCCGGCGGTAATCTGGCCATCTGGCCAATCGCAGCACGCCGCTCCGCGGCAGATCTGGAATGGCCAGGTTTTGGAAATACGCGCCGCGGCGCCTTCCAGGGCACCGGCGAGGCCAGCGGGTCGGTTTAGAGTTTTGGTTTTAGACCGAAAACAGAACGAACAGAAAGAAATATATAAAATAAATTTCATTTTATTTTCATGGTGCGGTGAAGACGTTTTGTTGAAATTACTGTTAGCGGACAAAGTTTTATAATGTATTTTTGTATTAATGAGAGTTCCCACCACCTAAGCGCTGCTGCCGGTGGCGACGCTATGCACAGCGCCGCTGATGGTGGCGACGCTAATGTCAGCGCCGCGAAACTGGGACTGTGACCGGGGGTTGCCGCAGAAGTCAACGGACAGGGTAAAGAAGGACACAGACAGAGCGCTGACTCGCAACTAATTTTTTAGTTGCGAGTCAGCGCTCTGTCTGTGTCCTTCTTTACCCTGTCCGTACCGCAGAAGTCAACGGACAGGGTAAAGAAGGACACAGACAGAGCGCTGACTCGCAACTAAAAATTTAGTTGCGAGTCAGCGCTCTGACTGTGTCCTTCTTTACCCTGTCCGTTGTCTTTTGCGCTGTTTTAACCTTTTATTAATTATTTATTTTTTATTTTAACGTTTTTTTTAACCTTTTATTGACAACGGAGTGCGACATCTCCGGAGGCCGTGAGGCGCCGTAAACCCGGCAAACATGTAAGTACACCCTTCGCCTCGACGGATGTTTCTCGCGTGCTCTAGCGCGCTTTTCCTCGCGCCGAAGCGAACTCTTGCAGCGTAACGATCCGAGCGAAAGACCACGGAGCCCGCTGTGACAGGGGCTCCGGAACCGGGGGGGGGGGGGGGGCGGGGGGGGGCAGGGGGCAGGGCAGGGATGCGTGCGTTGGCAGCGTTCGTTGGCAACGAACGCTGCCAACGAGCGAGCGGTAAAGATGTCGCTGGTCTGCCGCTGGCGTGGCCTAAGAAGAGGGGAGGAGCCTGGGAGAGGGGAGGGGGAGGGGCTATTGCGGAGCGCCAATGGCGAGGTGCGCGGAGGGGCGCGCGCCGGGAAGCAGGCACGGGCGCTGCGGGCTCCTATTTCAGTTGCTTTGTCGGAGTACAGATGGCGCTACGAGCGCGCTGTCGCCACGAGCGCGCTGCCAAAGAAAGCATTTATGACAATTCTAGGGGAAGCTCATTGCTGTTTGAGGCAAGAACGGGTGTTCTGCGAACCAGAACATACAGAGTGAAGTACCAGGAAATTGATACAGTGTGCACTGCTTGTGGAGAGGAGGACGAGACGGCTGAGCACTTGATACTCTA